ACTTAGCCTGGCCCGCACTCCTTCCCCCTCCCCCTTCTGTCTTCCACTCCTCCGGTCATACGGAGCACTGCTCGTTGACCTGAAGAAATTTTGTAGGAAATTTTTATCATATAATGTTACTCTTCAGTAATTATTCATTTTTATGCTTTTTGCGTATACAAATGAAAACCTTTATGGCTAATTTGTATTTACCTGTGTGTATGCGCGAGTGTGATGTATGCAGTGTGTGCATGTGTGCGGTGTGTGCAGTCTATGCGTGTGCATGTGGTGTATATGTGGGTGGTGCATGATGCGCGTGTACATGAACGTATGCTAGCATGTGTATTTATGTGTGTATGACATACATATGTATATATATATAACGCATGTTTGTATGTGAGAATTATTCCTCATCAAAATTGCTGGTTTTTGAGGATGCTAAAACTAAAGTTTTCGCATAACCGATGTCGTAATCCGGAATAAGCTTTCCTAAACCCTTTGTGCTATGACTGTTAATCTCAGATCTAAATTTAAATTTGAATTTTTCTCAGAAGGTGAAGCAAATTTTAGGATAATTAACAAGCTGACCACCCGTTGCAGCACTGGTCAAAGCATTTGAAAAAGTTGCTAGCTTCATAATTCGAGAACGATGCTATGAACTGCAACTGACCGAATAAATATTTTCCTGTTTTGCTTGTACCATCAGCAGGATCTTGTTTCCGAACAAGGTCTTTCTTCTGGACATTTGCAACTCAGCGTTTGTATTTGTGAGTAACAAGGAATAATAGCTTGATGCCACTAGCGCAAGCCAAAAGGGATATCTGACTGCATTTTGGCGGCATTAAAGTGCCACAAAGCAAGACGAAGGTTGTAGACTCCAAGCCTAAAAAGTGGCATGTTCGCTAAATAATTGTTCATTGGGAGAAACAAAGGCTTCAGGATTCAGTGGACATTTATTTGATGTTAGAAGCAAAGACATTTATTAAGCTTAAGCGGAATTATCATGAATGGCACTTAAAAAGGATAGATATTAACTAATAATGAAACGTATCTTGTAAAACTGTCGAAAAATTACTTTTTCTAATGCACAGTTAAGTTTGCAGTCTGTGTTTCATCCCTTAGTTGTCTGAATTGTTGTTGTGTTCCCGCCAAATGTGTGATGTCGATTAATGTATCAATTTGTCACGTTGCAACCCGCCAGATGTCGATCATGCTGCAACGCTGTGCACTACTTGGCGCGCACATAAGCATACTGCAGAAAGGAGTTGCGTTCGCTGGCAGTTTTGTCGTTGTTATTTGTTGGTCGTTCGTCTTTTCAGTAACAACGGGTCTCTGTGTCACAACCTTCAGCACTTGACGCAGAATACGACAAGCATGTTGGAAACATAAAAGACAGTGAAACCGATAAAAAAGTACATATTAAAAATTAGCCGAGATTACAATGTCCTGTCCATTGAGCTTCATACATCCTAACTTAGCGCCACAACTAAACCTCGTCATAAATTATTATTACGCAACAAGTAAAAGACTTGGAAATTAATAAGATAAAAGCAAAACGTGATATCTGTTCCAGTAGATGTCTATTCTAAATCTTCGAGTACACAAGGTAGGAATTCAAAAGAAAAAAAAAATGAAAGGAACAAAAAAAAAATGCCTTTTTGGCCTTGGAAACTGAACAAAATCTCAAAATACCCCATATGCTCTGACTGTTCCTAAGCCCAACAGGATCAGTGATTGTTTATAATAAGGATGGATTATCTGATTAGTCGGATGTTGCATACACTGGGGCTGTCATCTTCTGCGTTCGCTTTATCATTACTTTTGTTATCATCATCATCATCATCATCATCGCCATCATCGCCATCACCACCACCATTATTCACGACTCACAACAATAGCGGAAACAGCGCGAAAACAACAACAACAACGGGGACATGTCGTGGAACAAGGCGGGGGATGCGGAGCCGAGACGAGGTGAAAGGCGGAGTCGCCGACGTCGGGGCTGCTATGGTTGCTGCCGCTGCCCGATATGTGGTCGTGGTGGCTGGTGCCCTCCAGAAGCAGATGCGGTGCTGCTGCTTTATGACAGCCGTGGTCGACAATCAACTGCACAAATTTGGTACGCCACTTATTACGGTAACTTGCCACCATGGCCACTGCTTTGAGGGGGGCAACCAAGGGAGGAATTGAGGTCGGGTACGGTAGGTATCGCGGGATGCTGCAGCCTGTTCTATGATATAGTTGTGTAGCCAGCAACCAATAGCTGTCAGCTGCAAGCGAATGTAAAAACGCAATCGTCTGTCGTATTGTTCAAAAATTTGTTCTAAAAATTGTCTTTTTGTGGCATATTTTTATAAATTTCTTTTGAAATTTAACGGATAGTTCTCCCAGGCGGCGAAACGAATGTGGGGATTACCAGGCGATGCAGCATTGGTCAAAGCCACTGGAAAAGTTTGTGAATTGCGTAATTTGTAAACTGTGAGAAGAACCAAACCATGAGCAAAAACATTTTTGGAGAAGGCCTTTACGAACTA